TTAATCTATAAAAATATTTTAATAATTTTAACATTTTAAAAAAGATAATTAACGTGTACGATGTTTTCGTAAGATCTAATATTTTATACGTGATTCTGTTCTAAATATATATATATATTTTAAATATTTGTAAAGTTTTGTGAGTTTTTATCAAATAGTAATTACATTTAAATAATATTTCTTAAATTAAAATTTTTTTACAAGTATTAATAAAACGAGACATATGAAATGTTTTATTTTATTACACTTGTTATATTATCAAATCAAATCACAGAACATGTAAACTCTAGAATTATACAAGCGGAAAAAATAGAAAACATTGGAAATCTTTCAAAATAAAAACAATAGAGAAATTAGTAACTCAGTTATTTCTTCTTACCTTTTAATTACTTCAGCATTAAACATTGGCGTTAAATCAATTCAGTTCTAACTAGCTAATTATTTCTTCTTATATACTTTCTAAATATTTTATACTTTCCTTATAAGAATTTATTTCACTAAGTTTTCCTCCCTTGACATTCTTCCTCAATGAAAACGAATTTGGCAAATATCCAGTTCGTACGAAATCTGTTGCAAGTTCATTCGGTTAATGGAGAATTATTTATTTATTGAGAAAAGGAAGAAAATTAATCAGTTAAAATTAAATAAACTTTTATATAAGTAATATTAATATATCGATTATAAATTCTCTTGTATCATTAATCAATCAGAATTTAAGTACTGTATGCTCGAAGCGGGTGTTTACACCCGCTTCGAGTGTACTGTACTTAACACCCGCTTCGAGTAAGTCGGACAAATTTCTTCGAAAAATTTGACAGCAATTTTAAAAAAATTTTAACAATAAAAAAATTATAATTAACAAGTAATTTGAATTATAATTTTGTTATAATTATGTCCGAAAGTCTTTGAGATACCGCGCATTATATTACTGTAATCGGTAAGTGACTAAAGACTGTACAGTACATTACTGTATGCTATACTGTCACGAAAGTTTTTGAGCTCCTTTCCTGTAGTAATAAATTCAATAGTCTAACCTACTAAGGCTGTGTAAAACCACTGTACTGAATATCCATCTTCTCGTTTTCCACTTCATCGAAGAAAACGCCTCGCTAACACAAACTTTCGTAAACTCGATGACCTTCAACCCCTATTAGTGCGAGTTAGAGGGAGTTTACTGTTCTACACGTTAAAATTTTTTTTATTAGTGCTGCCAAATATCGGCATTAGATGACGCCACATTACAAGCTATATAAGTATGACGTGTATTAAATAGTACCTCGTATAAACTCTTAATTTTCTTAGAATAAAGCAATTGTAACTATTCTGGTCGATATAGTCTAATAAATGAATACGTTTTTCCTTATTCTTATATATTAGAAAAAGTTAAAATATAGAAAAGAAAGAAAAAAAATTATTAAAAAAAGAAGAAAAAAGGAAAACAAATTCATCCAAGAGTAGAGTGATCAAGAAGAAATTGAGAAATAATGATGTTATAAGTGCAGTTAAAACAAGTGATGAATTGGAAATAACAGTTAATGACAGAGTTAAACCTCAGACTGTTCAAAATAGATCGCACGAGTCTAGTTATCATGATAGATTTACTTGGAAAAAAATTATGGATAAGCAAATAAGACAATAAGAAATGACGTGCGTGGCTAAAAAGTATCTTGAAAGTCCAGTTACGTTTTGGAATCATGTTATTTGCTCTGACGAAAGTAAGTAGTACAACCTGTTTGACCCAATGGTGCTTAAAACGTTTGGAGAAAAACATTTAATCAAATGTGTATTAGATCAACTCCAAAAACATGGAGACGGTTCGGTGATTGTGTTGGGGTGTATAGCAACAAAATAATTGGAAACCTGGTATTTATTGTTGAAACCACGAGAAAAGAAAAGAACTTTAAAGTATTGTGTGAAAATCTTTTTACAATATTTCAGCCATTAAATTAGGATTAGAAAAAACTTTTCTCTTCCAACACGACAACAATCCAGCGTGTACAGCTAAGGTAGTGAAAAAAATATATATATATATTTGAAATCTCAGGATGTTATCACTTTGTATTGGTATGGATCTAAATCTCATTAAACACCGTGGGAATAAATAATAATAAAAAAAATAGCCAAAAGATATCCTAAAAGAAAAGACGAATTGAAACAGATGATAGAATTGGTATGGAATGAAATTGATCCTTAAGTCTGTGAAAAACTTGTTACAAGAATGCCTTGTCATTGAAAAACAATTTTTAAACAAAAAGGAAGCTCTACAAAATACTAAATAGTTTCAATATGACAAAATTATATGTTTGTGTGATAAAGTTTGTCACATTGCCAATAATTTTTTGGCATACTTTACAATAGTATTTTGTTTTGTGATTTTTTTTTTAAATTTGTATTTATTTTAAAATAAAAATAAATAAATATATACAGACATATAATATGGTTTTTAGTGTACAATACATATGTTTTAGAAACTTTCAAGTAGTGGCGTGCCAACAATTTTTTCTTAACTGTATACTGTATATGCGAGTGTGCCCTAGACATGTATACTGTATACAATATATCCAGTTTCCATAAACATTGAAATATATGGTCTAGAAATAGTTTTGGACGTTCGTATAATTATTTTTGTATTGAGTTTACACGTTGACTACCACACCAAAAAATCCATCAACGAGTTGCTTAACTTTCACGTGGTGGCGTCATCTGTTATGATAATACAGTAAAAAATTTATTACTTTTAATTATTATAAAATAGCAAAAAACTTAATTTTGAGGATAGAGATGAGTTTTATAAAAAAAATTGTAAATGCTAATAACGAGTAAAATTGTCATTAAGTCCAACTCTACTAGGAATATGTCAACTCCCCCTTTATCTCCCTACTCTCTCGACCTTTAACCACCAAAATTTAATAGCATCAATCCCCTAATACATAAATCTTGCGGAGGTTTGTGTTAGGAGATTGATGCTATTAAATGATAGTGTATTAGGAAAAATTTCCAAAATTTTCGAGAGAAAGCACAGGAGTTAAGCGTCAAAGAGGGCGAACAAAATCGTGCCTTCTCAACACACACACACACACGCGCGCGCTAACATCCATACATACAGAAACTCTCCCCCCCGAATTTTTTGAATTTCTCGACGTTTCAATGTCCCTTGAGTCCAAAAATGTAAAAATCTTTTACACCGATCGCCATATTTTTTCAGCTATAAAACAGCCGGAAAAGTAAAAACAAACTTTTTGCCTTGCAGCCACGGCTGTTATTCTTTTCATTACACCTAATAATCGAACATGTATAGACTATATGATCAGTTCAATAGGTTCCCAAATTTGGTTCAAATAACACTTTAACCTATTTGAGTAATCATTAGCTGGCGTGGCGCAATATGATTTTGCACTGCATCAGTCATTCTAAATACCAGTCTCAAATTGTGTATTCTTATTACTGCAGATTAGTGCAGAGTGTAATCTTTCAAATTATTTAAATTTAAATTTTCAATTTAGAATATATATCTTTCATTACTATTCAAAATTATAGACACCTCATAGGTATTGCGGTAATGCTTTAGTATGATAATTTTGTTTATACAGTAGACTTTCGTTAATTCGAACTCAGAGGGACGACCTTAAACAGTTCGAGGAGACCATTTTTGAAGGTTACAGAACAAAGGAAAGGAATGATTTTAACAACACATTAACACTATATGGAAGGCAGAATAATGTTTAATCAACGAGATATAAAAAACAAAGGCTCTGTATTGCTCACGACTCACGAGTAGCATGACATGGAAATACTCTCAGGGTGACTGTAAATTGTTGTGTGCTAACTGTTGTGTGATTTGAAATATTTTAAAATTGAATTTTTTAAATTAATTGATTACTTTTAAATTCGATCTTTAAATTTTAAAAATGGGAAGAAAATGTTAATGAAACACGCGCTCTTGATTCAAACAAACATGAGGCGGCATCATCGAGTTCGAATTACCGAGAGTCTACTGAATTTATGAAATTTGTAATATTAAAATATAGCAAAACAAATACCGTAAAGATAAAAAAAAAAGTCGTTTTGTTACGCAGTCGACAGGATTCGAACCTGTGCGGGAAGATCCCAACGGATTTCTAGTCCGTCGCCTTAACCACTCGGCCACGACTGCACTTATGAAGGTTTTCTAAAAACATTTTTACATCATTTAATCTTACAATGGGTACAATAGAGATTAGAGTGTTGGGCAAACAAAATCCGTTTGTCAGATGAATAAATAGGATAAGTGTCAGTCCGAACAGGGCAACGAGAAAGATGATCTGTTACATTGTTTGCAGTTCCTTCATAATGTTATACAGTGAAGTCAAATTCCGATAAATCAATTACAAGAGATGCAAATTTATGATCAATTTTTCATTTTCGTAAGTAGCCTATATAAGCGCAACTGTAAAATTAGCAGCTACGATTTTCCGACGATGGACTGTTTCAGTTGATCGGTCAATTTGTTTCGTCAGCGGGACGAATCGAATTTTCCCGCTTAGTTTAGAAGAAACAGATTCATTCTATTGATATGAAGATTGACAATATGGTTATTTTGTTTGACTTATTTTCCTCCATTGCAGATAGACGTAACCTCCAATGGAGTCGACCGACATGGATGAAGAATGAAGAAAATTTTACCTGTGGTATTTACAAAAAATTATAAAAATAACTTTATTTCAGGACAATAAGCTGATATTTTAATGCTTCTCTAAATAATTTATTGTTTTATTAGTAAAGATGAGATTCTAGTTCATTAAGACTAGCTTAGAGTTAGCCAGAATAAGCCATGGATGAGAAACGATTCAACGATCTTTAGAATTATTTATGAAAAATTGGAGGTTCCAAATTGAACCTAGATCTTCCGGATAGGAACTTTCTTGGATGAACTATGCCAATCTAAGTTAATTTTATTAGGTCGTATGATTAATAAATTAGGAAAAATTAGGCATTCCCACACATAATTTGAATGACACACAATGACTTACCACTTACATTTGTAACTGCTCTCTTTATTTTTATAGCGCAGTTATACAGGAAATTATCGTTTACGTTATAAGATCGAAAGGATTAAAATTGCTTACTGTATTTATCTATACAGTATATATAATAAAGGTTGTAAATTTTTTAATTTGTTTTAGTCGAAATTTTCATATTAATTACATGACACATTGTTGTATGATTCGTAATAATTCGTCAACACTATCAAATACAAATAATTTTCAATCTTTATGTTAAAGGGTCTTTCGATTATCAATAATTAGTTAAATAATTGATAAAAGTCATTATTAATTTCTTTCTATAACTCTTTAATTACTAGTGCATAATTTTAAAATTAATCCATTCTTATTATAAAAGATAATTTGATCGTTTTGAGGCTGTGCTGCTGAAAATGTGCAGACATTCATCTTAATACTCCTCCCTCAATAATTTTGTAAATAAATGTACATTTTTCTTTAAATTATTCGCGTACTGTCGTGATAACAGGAACATTACTGGTTCTTGTTGGACCGATATTCCTGGGAGACTCTACAGGACCACTTCGAATCCTTCGGATTATTGCGTTGAGCAAAGACAAGTTTATACACTTGCCATCTTGGAACTTTGTTTTTGTGAACGGTTATAAACATTTCACTTCTGACAAGAACAAGTGATGTACGAACAGATGTCTTGTACAAATATCCGGAAATGAACAGGTTTGAAACAGATTAATACTTTTTTATTACGGACCAGAAAAAATTGTACATGGTTACAGTTCTATCATGTAACGAATTCATAATTATTTTCCTATTTAATATTAACTTAACAGAGTAACAATTCTACTATTTAGAGTAAAGCAAGTATAGACAATTCCCTTAATGATAAGCATAGATAACCGCTATATACTATGAATAGGCTATAAAATATAGAAAGAAATATTTAGTAGAAACAATATTATTTGTTAAAATCTTTATAGTTTTTTAAGAGATGAGAGATTTACCGGAATTTTTCTAGAAATTTTAATATTTGATATTCAAGAAATATTAAGAAATTTTATATTTCGTAGAAAAATGAAATTGCGAAAAGTTCTAATATTTCTAAATTAAATTCCCATTTAAATAAATTTTTAAATAACGATCAAATGATATTACATAAGAAATACAAAACTTTTATACTTTGAACGTTGTGAAGTATTTAAACTGCTGAAAACAGAAAGACAATCAGAACTCATCTAAAGAATGAAGGCTTTGCTAGTATTCTTCCTGATTTCTATTGGTGGTAAGGACAGTTACTTTAATATTTTAGTTAGTAAGTTACGATAAAAATTTATACATTCTTCATTTTTAGGAATATCCACATTAGTTTCATGTCAAAGAACGTATCGTTCTCCACAAGATTGGGATAATTACCACCCTCACATTTGCCTTGGCAAAGAGATAATTGGAATTTGCAGATACCAATGCGATATGCTTAGAAAACGTATTTGTACACGAGCGGACCCTCCTTGCAGTTGTTATTAGTAGTAAGGCGATAAAAAAAAAACGTTCATGGTTATTGTTATAATAGTTTACGGTTTATAATCGAATTTCAAAGTATTTAATGAGCAATCTTCGTCAAAGTTACTACAATCATAATTTTTGATATTTTATTGTTTTAATTTAATATATTCAAATAATTTAAAAATATTATTCAGTTTCAATGTGTTCCAGACTATTTTAAAGCTAATTTAAAAACAAAAAAAATTAGTTTTAACAAAGTCTTTGCAGTGGAAGATTGTAGTTCCCAGTGATTGGACATGGCGAGAGTAAAGACGTTTTGATCTTTTCACGTATTTTTTCTACTAATTTTTGTTTATTTTTTTTTGTTAAATAAAGATAATTAAGTGTGGATAATGCTTTCCTGTCGTCGCAAAATGAACCGAATATAATTTTACATATTATTTTAAATATTGTAAAATTTTTCTATATCAAAATGTACAGCTTCTAACTTCTAACTTATGAATTTTCAATCATTATAATTTTTTGGTGTAATGGATGCTAATCATTACCAGTACTTTGATGATTAACGAATTAGCCTATTCCTATTTATAGTTTATGATATTTTAAAATGGTATTCGAGAGTTACCTCTTACATTTATAATTGCTCTTTATTTTTATAGCGCAGTTACGCAGGAAATTATCGTTCACGTTATAAGATCGATAGGATTAAAATGACTTACTGTATTTATCTACATATAATAAACTAGCTGTTACCCGCGACTTCGCCCGCGGAGGTTTTGCAAGCAAACCCTATTTATACTGTATTCATTATTTCAACAACCATAGTAATTGTTATATAACACCTATCACTGAGAATGATGCGAATTGCCGAGAATCCCTTCTTAGTGTGCATTCCCATGGCGTACCCTAACTGTGTACCAAATGTGATAATGGTATGTAGGCCTATTTCCTGCTTTGCACAGACTACACTAAATTTTTGCGAGTTTTAAACAAAATAAAAGGCTTTAAATTTAAAAAAAGCATGTAATTTATAAATATTTGTGAACATATTTAATATGCCAATAACAACAACCTTTAATAAAAAAAATTATTACAAAATATACATAAGATTAATTGGAATAATCGTATTTATTCTAAGATAAATACAATTATTAAAGCTAAGCTAAAATAAAGCTAAGATAAAATTAAATTTAGGTTAACAATGTTAAAGTTATTGCATCAATGTTTATGTTTTTAATGCTGTAAATCTTTAAGTTGATAGATAAGAAATAATTGATCGATATTAAGGGGTTAAAAATGGACCTAAAATTACAAGAATTTTTAGAATTTTTTGTACTTTTAAATTGAAATCTATTCATATTATTTTATCTTTCCGCTTCTATTACATTTTTTTTCAAATATCAATATGTAATCGGTCCAAATACCGTTATTCTCTAGGAATTATCACATCCACAGACTCCAAAAGTACTATGGAGTATACGCCCTTGAAAAATGCTCTAATCTTACTCGGCTCTGACAATAAAATGGAAAATGTCTATAAAAATAAATCTAAAAAACTAAATTTTTATTTATAGGTACCTACTTAGTAGAATTTAGAATATATTTAGTAAAAAAAAATGTTTATTCGAAAATATTTGCCAAAATACACAATAATACAATACAAAAATGACACCAGACACTCGTTAGTAGAGATAGTAAAGACCCAAGGCTAAGGCAAACCGTAAACGCAAACAAAAAGAAAAAACAACTACCTAGGTACTTATAGATTTACTTTCCGCGCTTTCCTCATTGCGAAGTCTTTGATGACATTGTCATACGACAGAAGCCATGCTGTGTCGCGTTCAATCGACAAAATTGCTAGCCCAGACAATCTTTCTTCGTCCATCGTCGAGAGCAGGTACGTCTTTATCAATTTGAGCTTACTAAATGACCTCTCGCAGGAAGCTACAGTCACTGGCTTTATAGCGACTACTAAGTTGGGAAACATTCCTTTCAAATCCAGTTCTATTATAGCTTTAAGAAGACCCAGACTTGATTGACATTCACATTTATCAAATAATGCGGTCGCTTCAACTTGACTCTTCAAAGTTTCTAATTCGGCCCAAAATTCTGTGGCATTTATATCTGTAGAATATTTGATACTTGAGTCAGCAGCATGTTTTTTAGTTCTTCAACTGAATATGTAGTTATGCCTTGTACCGTCAAAAAATTAAAACAGTGGTGAATGTTGTGTAGTTTTTCGAATGGCCATTTGAATTCAGAAATTATTCTATCTATTGCTTCATTTATCTGAATTTTGAAACTTTGTTGTTGGGTAATATCATAACCAGCGTCTAATCTTTCGTTTAAATCGTGTCTTTTTATTCGCTTTCGACGCTTTTCATTGTCTTCAATGCCACATTCTTCACATACTTTTTTTGCCTTTTCGAAAACATTGACCACAGTCTGGTAAATATTTTGAATCTGCCTTGTTAATCCCTTGATTAATTCAGAGGTAATCTTGATTAATTTCCCTTTTGTCGATAGTAAGCTGTAGAGCTACTGTAGAGGTACATTCACTCCGTCAACAGATTCTAAAACTTGATCCCAAATTTACAGATTACATACGAATTTGTAGTTTATTAGGTCCATTATGCTTTTAGCTATAGCGATTGTTTCCACATTATAATCGTTGGTAGTTAGAACCTTTAGCACACACCAGATTTGGGGAATTTGCATGTTTAAAGCTTTGATGGCATGTTTAGCTTTAGAGGCCCATCTAGTATCGGCGTATTTTTTCAAAGAAATATTTAAATCTTTCATTAAAGTTTCCCGTCTGACCGTAGAACTCGAAAAAAAAGCAGAAATATTTTCTGAATTACTCCAAAAAAAGTGATTATATCGGGCCTGTCACACTAGCAGCGTGTACGACAGATAAATTCAAAGAATGCGCTGCACACGGCACGTAATCAGCATTATCATTAATTGCTGTTCAAGCATTTTCCACTTAATAAAATTTTCTCTATGAAATGTAGAGTTTTTGTGCTCAGGGATACGTGGATTTAAATGACGCCAATCATTATATCCTTTTTGCGCATAAGCGAGTGCTGGCCTTATCTGGTGAGTGAAGGAAGAACCGAAAAGTATACATGGGAAACAAAATATTGTGTCTCTTTTTATCGTCTACGTATCATCTCGCCATTGCTCATCTTTTTTGTAAACCAATGCATATCAAATTTTCGTCCTGAGTCTTCAGTTGAAGAAATGTTTTTACTACCTTTTCCTTGATCAGGCCCTTTCTCGACAAGGAAACAACGAATGGGGTCAGTTAAGGGTAACCATGAAACAGGATCATTTGTGTCTAATTGGGTCTTATTAATTGCAGCTGTTTCTACAATTCGAATTTCAGAACTTTGAATAACTGTGGACAAGGTCAAGTCTTGCTGGATTGGGCTGACTGGGCTGTCTTTATTATTATTATTATTTCTTTAAATTGTTTCCAGACCCAGACATATCAAAGGGTGTCAAAACGTCATTAGGTACATCATCTTCCTGTCCACTTTCTTAACGAATTTCTCAATTTTTTGGCTTCAATCTCCCTCACGCGCTTTTTTTTTCGAAATTCAGATCCGGATGGACGTTTTTGTGACACGGTGTTTGTTATGACACGCGTGCTTGGCTTACGATAGCCGGCAGGTAATATTTCTGAAAGAAGAATTGCGAATCAGGTCTAGTCTAATATACCTATAGACCTATATAGGTTACGTACTTGTGTACCGAACATGAGAATAGAAATGATCACCATAAAAATGCCATCTAAAAAATATACTTAGGAAAGTACCTAATCCAACGTCTAAAGTATTAACTAATAACATTTACAAGATATTATTATTTATTAATATCAAATAATAAAACTTTCCAGTACAACTTATAAATACAATTTTTCAACTTACCCAAACGAGTTCATCAACAAACATTAAATCAACAAAAAGCTTATTCACTCTCACACACGATTTTACTTTTAATTAAATTTTAAATATATAAAGACCATAAAATAACGACGAGACAATAACCTCCGAGTACCCCCGATGTTAATGTAAGGCCGGGACCACACACCCATCCGGACGGAAACCGGCTGTCGAACTAAAGTCAATATATCGGTGACTATTACGTAAATAGGACTGATGTGACCAAGGAACGGGGTGCGAGGCGATATAATTGTCGCATTCCAAACCTAATTGACAGATCCGCGATCGTCAATCGTGAGAACGAGTGACGGATAGTCCGCCGGGTAACTTTGGACGGTCTCCTTAAAGAGAGTTCAAAGCGAGACCTGCTGATACTCCTGTAGAGGTGGGCGGCGGCTGGGACATCTGCGTCTTCTCCGGGACAGAAAAATAGACATTAGGTAAGATTTACGGGTCCATCATCCGGGAAAGGGCTTGACCCGACTCCGGAGGGAAACGGCCCGGACGGGGATATTCGGCAACCCCGCGGCCCGAATCGCGTCGTTGGCAACGGACCAGGGACGAACAGAATCGCAGGGGACCAACATTCGGACCAACCAAAATCTCGGGATTTCGGAAAGAAAAAGGTTATAACAGCCCGAAATCCCAAGGACACGAGGAGGTTGGGAGCAAATAGTCCGGTCGACTAAGCTCGGGACTATAGGAGCAAAAGGCTAACGAACGAAGTACGGCAGAAGAGTTTAGGGACCGAACTTCTCATCGTAGAATTTTCCACGATCCAAATTAAGGAATCGACTTCCACCGGAACATCGTGAACGCCGTGGTTCTTGTGCTACGTGGCCCACTTCCTTCTCCAACCGCCGAAAAGGAGAACCCTCTCCGACCTACGCAGGAGAACCTTTTCCGTTGCGTGACTCACGTGCCTCCGGGAAGGACACTCCATCGTTTGGTACGATATCTTTTCGAAGGACAGACCAGTGTTTCTATTGTAAGCATGTTTTTAGTTCAATAAACGCGTTAAATTTGTAAATACGGTCTCTGTGTGAGTCTCTTTGCGTCCTGCGAACCACTACCCTCATACGGAAAAAGGCTTTCTCGCGTCATCCTGACGACATTCGCGGGAAAAACGGGTGTGTTCACCTTTAACTGAAAGGTCAACACACACTTCCCAACGCTGGTGACAACAACTCCTCGTACCCACATTAACAATACGACAATGATCAAAATGAACGTTGCTGACAGCGTGAACTATATGTAAATCTCAGCTAGTTTGACAGATTTGTTTAGAAGTAGCGACCTTCTTCAAATTAATTTAGATTCTTCTCTCAAGGTATACTTTTGTGTGTGTGTAATATTGCGAGACTTACGAGTGTTGTAGTTTCAAGATCGCTCGACAAATGTCATATAGTATAGTAGGGCGTGTCTACACCCGTATACGCGATATAAAATATTGTATGTGTTCTATTAACTACGGGTCGGCCAACTTGCGCCTGTACTAGATAATTATGTTTTTCTTTGGATTGGAAGCAACTTGTCTTTCTTTTATCAAACACAAGAACCAATTTTTGGGGCATGCATGGCATGCATGACCCAAAACTTGGTCCAGGTCATTTCTGCGCCTCCCCAGGGTCTGCGCCCTGTGCCTGGACACCGCTGGCACCTCCCTAGTTACGGCACTTGATATAAGTTACTCATGGTTAGTAAATTTTATTCATGGTTAATTAAAATACATTGCCAGATAGTGCTGCAAGATTTCGTCTATACAAAATTTTCCATACAAAAGTTTAAGTTTATTAAGTTAATTCAATATAGAGAACTTTTATAGTTTCAACTCTTATAATCCAAGATTATTGAACGTTATTAAAGTAGATTATATTTAAAATAAACAAATAAATAAAAGTAAATAATATCCAATTCTTTCGTCACAATATAATTTTAGTTATATATTTCTGTAAGGGTAACCATGAAACAGGATCATTTGTGTCTAATTGGGTCTTATTAATTGCAGCTGTTTCTACAATTCGAATTTCAGAACTTTGAATAACTGTGGACAAGGTCAAGTCTTGCTGGATTGGGCTGACTGGGCTGTCTTTATTATTATTATTATTTCTTTAAATTGTTTCCAGACCCAGACATATCAAAGGGTGTCAAAACGTCATTAGGTACATCATCTTCCTGTCCACTTTCTTAACGAATTTCTCAATTTTTTGGCTTCAATCTCCCTCACGCGCTTTTTTTTTCGAAATTCAGATCCGGATGGACGTTTTTGTGACACGGTGTTTGTTATGACACGCGTGCTTGGCTTACGATAGCCGGCAGGTAATATTTCTGAAAGAAGAATCGCGAATCAGGTCTAGTCTAATATACCTATAGACCTATATAGGTTACGTACTTGTGTACCGAACATGAGAATAGAAATGGTCACCATAAAAATGCCATCTAAAAAATATACTTAGGAAAGTACCTAATCCAACGTCTAAAGTATTAACTAATAACATTTACAAGATATTATTATTTATTAATATCAAATAATAAAACTTTCCAGTACAACTTATAAATACAATTTTTCAACTTACCCAAACGAGTTCATCAACAAACATTAAATCAACAAAAAGCTTATTCACTCTCACACACGATTTTACTTTTAATTAAATTTTAAATATATAAAGACCATAAAATAACGACGAGACAATAACCTCCGAGTACCCCCGATGTTAATGTAAGGCCGGGACCACACACCCATCCGGACGGAAACCGGCTGTCGAACTAAAGTCAATATATCGGTGACTATTACGTAAATAGGACTGATGTGACCAAGGAACGGGGTGCGAGGCGATATAATTGTCGCATTCCAAACCTAATTGACAGATCCGCGATCGTCAATCGTGAGAACGAGTGACGGATAGTCCGCCGGGTAACTTTGGACGGTCTCCTTAAAGAGAGTTCAAAGCGAGACCTGCTGATACTCCTGTAGAGGTGGGCGGCGGCTGGGACATCTGCGTCTTCTCCGGGACAGAAAAATAGACATTAGGTAAGATTTACGGGTCCATCATCCGGGAAAGGGCTTGACCCGACTCCGGAGGGAAACGGCCCGGACGGGGATATTCGGCAACCCCGCGGCCCGAATTGCGTCCTTGGCAACGGACCAGGGACGAATAGAATCGCAGGGGACCAACATTCGGACCAACCAAAATCTCGGGATTTCGGAAAGAAAAAGGTTATAACAGCCCGAAATCCCAAGGACACGAGGAGGTTGGGAGCAAATAGTCCGGTCGACTAAGCTCGGGACTATAGGAGCAAAAGGCTAACGAACGAAGTACGGCAGAAGAGTTTAGGGACCGAACTTCTCATCGTAGAATTTTCCACGATCCAAATTAAGGAATCGACTTCCACCGGAACATCGTGAACGCCGTGGTTCTTGTGCTACGTGGCCCACTTCCTTCTCCAACCGCCGAAAAGGAGAACCCTCTCCGACCTACGCAGGAGAACCTTTTCCGTTGCGTGACTCACGTGCCTCCGGGAAGGACACTCCATCGTTTGGTACGATATCTTTTCGAAGGACAGACCAGTGTTTCTATTGTAAGCATGTTTTTAGTTCAATAAACGCGTTAAATTTGTAAATACGGTCTCTGTGTGAGTCTCTTTGCGTCCTGCGAACCACTACCCTCATNTAAAAATTGTAAAATATAATATTAATAATAAAAGAATATTTAATTGGCTAAATATACTATAATATAAATGACGAAAATAAGCTATTGACGTATTTTAAATAAAAAAGAAATCGACCAATGATATGACAAGCATCGGTGTCGGTCTCATGGCAACGAATAAGGGGCGGAGCTGTAATGGAATTCAAAATAAGGAGACATTTGATGATTTTTGAAGACATTTCGTTGAAGGGAAGATGTCTTTCATGTTTTACGGGATGTATGCCTCCATTCTCATCTTTTTAGCCTTTAGAACAGTTTTGTGTGATCCAGCAACATGGACACCAGGTATTATATTTTCCTTTTTTTTTTACTCAACAATAATTTTATTTAATTTAAAAACAGAAGCATAATATATTTAAATTATTAAAAATAAATTCAAAACTTTTTTTTATAGTTTAATAATTAATTAAAATTCTGAAAGTATACGCCATCTCGTGGTTAACATACAAATTATTTTCTAGTTTTACTAAATAAGTAATATAATCTAAATACTTACGTATTAATAGACTAATAATAATAATAAATTTAATTAGGTATTTTTAGTATATTTATAATTGTATAAATATTTTCTGAATGGACGTAAACTTTTCTGTATTTATAATAGAAATTATACTTTTAACATAATGTAAAATCAATAAGTAAAATGTGCTAGCGTGGTATTCATACGGAAATTTTACGATTGAATAAAGTATTCATGTAATAAATTGTCCGTTAAATTTGCGTGATTTCATGATAAAGTTACACTGTGAATAATTAAATATAAAATAACCGCTAATTGCTTGATTTAGAAAGATGTAAGTTATTCAACCAATTAAATATGTAAGCTAAATTACCAAATAGGAAAATAAAAATAAAAAGTAGATTAATTTCTGTATTTTCTAAAAATAAAAATTAATTATGCACATTTTTCAGAAGGTTTCTTTAGAATTCAACCTTGGGAAGATAATAAATTTAGCGTTACTAAAGACCAGATAAATATTTTATGCGCACTTTTCGGTGACAAAATCGAAGAATGTCGCCAAAGTAAGTATTTATAAAATATTATTTATAGTCTATAAATAATTAATAAAATAATAATTTAAAAAAATGCTTATATATAGATTCGAAAATATATCCTGAAGATATATTGGATATTGATGAATTAGGTAAAAGGGAGAAGATGCGAGGAGTTAATTTACCAATTATTCCTTGCGAAGGAAGCAGTNTACAAAATACATGTGTATTAAGTCAATAAAATTGCTTTGTCATCGTTAACCATTGGATGTTGGAATTGCTGGATGAAATACTTAAACTTAATGGTTTAGAATTAGAGAATAACTACAATACGTATATATGTATTGAAAAACCCTATATATGTGTGTGTATATGTATAAATGTTTAATTTTCAAAATTATATCCTCTGTAATATATAAATATGTTGCAGGATTTATACAAAATGCTGGATCTTTATAGAGAAAACGGAGACTTCTCTATCAGAGTAGAATTTTTATAATAAGATTGAAAAATTTCGCCCTTATCACAATTCGTTTTGTATTAACAAAATGTCATACAAATTGATAAGCCTCTTAATTAATTTAAGGTTAAGTAATTTAAACAATGCACGCTTATCCTAAAGATTATACAACATGAAAATAGGTAAATACAACAGCATTTTTAGAAAATGCACGATAAATCATTGGAAATGAGACGTTTTGTAAATAGAATGTCAAATGTTAGTAAAACAAATATACAATATAACGAATAAAAACTTACTTAGTTTCTTAATAGTAGAAAATATTACTTAAATTTAAATAATATAATGATTAGTTTACTATTATTAATAGTATTTGTAAAATAGTGATTTTAATATAAATTTTACAATCAAATGTTTTTTTTTTAAATCTTATCATTTTAATAATCATATTAAATATAATATTTATTGATTATTGGAAAATTTTAACACATTCTAAATCTGATCAATAATGACTCCAACGCTATTACTTCAGTACAAAAAAGTTTCGAATTCGATCAATACAAAACTAAATCTTTTTTCCAATAAAAATTCTACAAAAGAAAAGTGATAAAAAAAAAGAAATAAGAAATAATTCTGAGTTATTTCAAGTTAGAAAATATACATCAGGTAGCAAATATTACTGTACAACTTTCATTTTATCAATAATTTTCTTCTGAACATGGCTAACATACATCGTTTATGACCTCGGCCGTCACATAAAATCTCACCCGAGTAATAAAATACGCCATTCTTGAACCTTAACAATTGATTATCGTCTTCCTTTCCTATAAAACTATCTAATATGACTGATAACGACCCTTGGATAAAAATTACGATGGTATTTTCGTTACGAAAGTATATCCGACACCGTAATAATGGAAGTTTACCTGTCGTTGACAATGATATCTTGAATGTATTTTGCTCAGATTTATTTTATATTTACGATTACCTGCTTGTTAAAATATATATATATATATTTTCTTACACTAAATATCTATTGATTAAAAGATTATCTTTAAAAAAAAAGAAGTTTCTAAATTTTTCAATTATCCTAATATATTTATTTTATTTTTGTTATTTAAAATTAAAAAAAATACATTATTAATTAATTAAATTATTATTTTAGGTCTCTTGCATCTGATTCTTCGCGAGCAAATATGGAGAAGAAGCAACAGCGAGATAACTTTTATAGTGGATGGTAATTGCTCTTGAACCTCAATGTAACATCATTATTTCTTTCTTTTTTTTTTCTTTTCTTTTTTCATTTTCGGCCGAACATTAAATCCGACTGATACATTAATTATGATTAGAAGGAAAGATTAATAATACAATTTTTTGTAGCTGTCTGGCTATATAGTATATCACATATGTCACTGTAAAGTGGAGAATGGTTTTAAATTCGAAAGAATAAAAATAAAACTGTAGAATCTGCTATATTGTTTTTGCTAATTAGTTTTCTCGTGTTTGAATATAAACATTTTGGAAGATTCAGCTTTAATTTTGATTATCTTTATGGCGTTACTTACAATAGCCAGACATCAAGATTTACCATTTAATTATTTTAAGAAATTATATTTTCATTTTAAATAATATTTACATATTTATATATTTCTTTTTTTTAATTTATAAATTCTTCAATTATAATACTGGCTAATTTTTTATATAAATCGCAATCAACGTAGAGCTTCCAATAGAATTATTCTACACATACTTACTTCTACAATTAATAGAATATTAAAAAAATAATAATAAACTCGAATATATGAATTTATCAATAATTTTTCTAGAAATTTTAAATGTTAATGGTTAATTAGAGCAAATAAAAATATTTTAAAACTAATTTCTTATTACAAACAATCTATTTTAATTATAAAAACATGTAAAATGTTATTAAGAAACAGGAAAAAAATATATATATAAATCTTAGAATATAGGAAATAATTATCGATTTATTCCCGTGATTTTCAAAACAAAATTTATCTTGAATTTTAATATCTGTTATTATCTTTATATGAATGTGATTTACGTTAAATTTCTCATATTTTGATCGTTACCTGAAGCCAAATTTAAGCGTTTTAATTAATTTTAAATGATTTTACATGATTATAAATCTAAAAATTATTATTTGTAACTTTATCTGAAATACTTTTAAAAAATTT